TCTAAGAATTAATCCTTATTTGTCACATAGGTTCTGTATATTTCATAAAAAGAACCTTTCTGTATATAATATTACCCAATAAAAAATATTAATTGAATCGGGATTCGATTTTCAATTCGATTTAAATTTTAAAAATTTTAATCGAAATGTTGTAATCATCGAAATTGATTTCGAAACTAGCCGTCACACTGAGTAAAGTTTGCTGGTTGGTCACCGGTTATCCGGTTAATTGGGTGTAAGGGATTCGTTGGTTAGTCGGTTGTTGAAAATATTCGACGATTGGATGGATGTATAGTTGACAATTAATCGTAAAAATAAAGGTAAAAATATTTTCCACGAGATTATAAATCCCGTAGAAATATTTTTTTAATTAGAACATTAATTGGTTAATTTGTTCAAGTGAAATTTTATAACTGGTAAATTAACCAATAATAATATACAGTAATCCAATTAAAAATTTTTTTCTTTATCAGCTCTATTTTCCTTCGTAGTCCTTGTAGTAATGATAATAATAGTAGTAGCAGAAGTAATTGATGTTTTTTCCTTAGTCAATTAATAATAGTTGTAGTAATTTTTTTCTTTGTAGTTAAAATAGCATTTGTTTTATAACAAATGATGTTATTGCAACGCAAAAAACAATAATAATAATAATTTAATAATTTTTTTTTCCACTAGCCAATAGTCATCATAGTATATAGGGTTTCTACTCGAATAAAGGCTATTTGTTTTATTCCGAATTACATTGAATGTCTATTCGAATATAACGAATAAAGTAGGATTAAGAATTCGAATAAACAGAATAAATTCGAATTAAATTACAAGTCCACCCAAAAGAAAAAGTAAAGATTGATATATGTGTATTCTGGTTAGATGAACAATAAAATTTGTAACGCTAATATTGATGGGTTAAACGATTAACGGTGTCAATAATACTCTCTTTTGTTCGTTTGGTACAACACGATAAAAATGCGACTTTCTAATCCCATTTGATGATCATATACTGGCTTTAAAATTCGTCTTATAATGATAAAATTCGGTTTACTCCACACTGTCAAATCACCCAAATCTTTCATAAATAAATTTTATTATTTTATACGTTTTTATTTAAACTATTATTAATAATAAAAAATCGTTTTTCATAATCCGAATTTCGGTAACCCGATCCATTTTTAAAGTTCGGCTTATCGAGATTTGACTATAATAGATTTTTCCGATCATGAAAATTTAGCGTACCTTCTGTGCTTAGTCACAATGTGCAAGTTATCCCTATATTGTCATTTCACATTACATAAGCTAGCCAGCCATTAATTAATTTAATTAGGTTAGCTTGATAATTAAAAAGCCATCAAATGAAACAAGTTAACCTTAACCGGTTAAAGTATTTTGTTATCATTTAACCGTAGTCGATAATAAAGGAAATTAATACGTTTTTAATTGTAGAAATTTAAATTATTTCGCTAGGTGAAATGAAGCCACATTCACATTGTCAGCTAAATGCAAGAGAATGGAGAATAAAAGTGAGATACGACTAAATTTATTTGCTACCTATTGAAGCCTTTGAAGCGTTAAAAAACTTTCAATATGAAATTTTCAAATTTTATATCAAAACGACGGTCTTTGTTCCTTGGCTTTATTAAACTGTATTTTTTTGAGAAGTATGGGAACAAAATCAAAAGGTAAAAGTTGTGGCGAGCAATTTTGCTGTGTTGACTGCGATTTTTCAAATATTTGATTTATTAATTGAAAATTTCTAACATCAGAAATCGTAAATGTTGAACATAAACCTTGAATGTGAGTTAAGATTCATTTTCACGTTTATTTTGCTTTAAAAAAAAAAAAAAAATGAATAGATTATTATATGCGCACTCTTCAAAATAAACAGGACCTGCAAACTTCATAGATAGGCCAGTAACAAAAATTCCTATTTGTTATATAATTTGACCCAGACCAAAACTAAGTTTAATATATAATTTGACCCTATGGGTTTCAACAACGTTAGATAATTAATTTGACCCATAATATATATTAACATTAAAAATTTTGAAACTGTGACGAAATCAAATAATGATTTTAAACTGATTTATAATTTATTAATGTAGAATATCGATTTGAATTTTTTTGCTATCATGTATGAAAAGCATGTTGTAGATGATTACTTAATACTAAATACCAGTTTTTCACCAACATCTCGAGTATATAATGAGTAAGTCTTTCGCGATTTATCGAATCGGATAAATAAAAAAACTCGAGATTTTTTTTATTTATTCAATAATATAAGCGGATTATAAATAAATGCCAGATGGTCATCTTATTCTTCGGGGTGAAGCCAACAGCCCCGAAGATGTAATAATTAAAGAAAAAAAAGAGAGTTCTATTACAAATAAAATAAAAAAAATTTGTTCAGAGTGCGGTAGTCGTGACATCAAGTACAAGTTTTGTATAAGTTGTGAAAAACAATATTTTATACGACAATTCGGCCAATGGACAAGTAACAATGTCGAAATAGATAGATTTATAAAGTATACACAAACCAAAGCAATGGCTCAAGTAGAATTTTTCGAGTGGATAGAGTGGTCAGAATTGGATCTTATCGAGTATGAAGACACAGGATTATATAGTACAATTTATTCGGCATATTGGATCGATGGGCCTATTTTATTATGGGAAAAAACCATGGACTGTTATATAAGAAATGGACCGATCAAGGTCGCGATTAAAAGATTCAACAATTCTCAAAATATATCTGAAGAATTCATCAATCGTGTAATTATTCCAATTAATTAATAATGTAATTTATTAATAATTATTATCTAATTGATTAAATTTATTGATGCAATTAATTTAGTTATATAAATTACATAGTTGTGTACGAAGCAATTATATTATTGATTGTTTCGGACTTACACGAGACAATACTTCGTGTTTTTGTTTGGTAATGAAATATTATGAAAATGGGAACCTTTATCAATTTCTTGACAAATCGAAAGGTGTACTTTGTTGGCGCGATATAGTTGAAATACTCTGGTCAATATCCAATGGTCTAGACCATATCCACCGTCAAAAATTATTCCACGCAAATCTTCACGGAGGAAATATATTGGTTGACAATGAAAATGATTTTATATATACATGCATTAGTGATGTTGGATTAAATATTCCAGGGGGGAGAGTAGAAGGTGAAGAAACGTTTTCTTCTGACGAGAATAACATATACGGAGTGCTTCCTTATATAGCACCTGAGGTTTTATTAGGTCGTTGTTATACTTACAAATCGGATATCTACAGTTTTGGACTTTTGATGTGGACATTAGCAGCAGGGACAAGACCTTTTTATAATGTGGCGCATAACGAAGTGCTAGCGCAAAAAATTATAGATGGAGAAAGACCAAAGATAAGCAAAGACGCGCCCAAAAGTTATAACGATCTCATGGAACAATGTTGGAATCATGATCCCACGAAACGACCAACAGCTTCGAAATTATATGAAACAATCGGATCATGGTTTACAAAGATCTGTAACGATCCTACTCCTACTGAAATTTCAGTGGAATTTGATCAAGCAGAAGAAATAAAATTTTTGAAACTCGAAAAATATACATTCCAAAAACGAAGGATTCATAAGGAAGCGATTTACACAAGTCGTTTATTAAATTTCCCAGCACTTCGGCAATAATATCAAACGTAAACATAACAAACTTCAAAAAAAAATTTTTAAAAAACCTCTATATTTAATCTTGATTTTAATTTTTTAATCTTTTAATTACGATTTATTTTTTTTGATGAGATTGATTCGGATAATCTATATTAGTATTTGGTATTTCAACTTCGCTTTTTTTTTTCAGAAAATTCAATTTACACAACGTTGTTAGTTCTTGCAATCCATCAATGCAAGCTTTTATATTCTTCTAAACCACCCATAATTGGCAGAATTGTTGTTATTGTTGACATTACCAACATCATGACTTGGAGCATTTAAAAGGTTTTGATTGATTTCATTACGATGGATGTATGGATTCGAAAAAGAATGGTTGTTTAAATTTTAAGGATTCCATTTTTTCTTAAATAGCTTTTTTCACATTATTCAGCATTGTACAAACAATTGATGGTTGCTTATGTTATTCTTAGGACAACCATTAATAATATCAAGTGCGGAATGAATTTAGTCTCATTTATACTAATATGACGTTTTCAATTTTTTTCAAAAAAAGGGTTTAATTGACAGGTAGTAGTAAGCAGTTTTTACGTTTATCTTTATTTTTCAAGATAGTGTCCATTATCATTATACGATTCAAAAAACACATATATAACATAAAATACAATGATAAGTATAAATATATTTTGATTCATCTTAAATTTTTGAACATCTTTGCTCGTGTCATCATAAGCTCGTTCTTTACCCTTGACATCAGGAGTGAGTATCCGTGGAAGTCGAACCGACAGCAAAAGAGCTTGTGGGAACGGAAATGGTCATCAAGCAAGTCGAAGGGGAGGTTTAGCAAATGACATGCTTCCTTTTTTCTCTTCATAATCATAATTTTTATTGTTGCCCTTGTTTGACTTGGTTTGCATGGAATCAAGTCCCATTCTATTTCCTTCGCTACCAAGTGCTGTTTGTTTGTCTCGCTGGTTCTCAACTTTCCAAAAACCGAAATTATCGACCTGTCTAGATTGTTTTTAATCGACCTACATCTCCTGTTCTCGTCCACATATATCACATGAACTTCAAAGTTGATGATGTCGTTCTTTGACATCGGGTTGTATAGCTTTCTGTTTAGAACAAAGTTCTCACCTCAACAAAAAAGTCATTGTTTGCAACCCCTGTGAAAATCATCAACAGATCTTGGTAGGGAAGGTCTTCCTTGCCTTCACTATTTTTATCAACCATGATCGTTTGGTTAGAGTCACCTACACATATATATGATTAAGAAAAGTCAACCAAATTTCAAAAAAAACTTCAATTCAAGAAGATATAGTAATAGGGAAAATTATACATACACATTCGACTTCCTCTTCCATGACGTATCTCCGATCAGGACAACCATCGAATGCTTGAAAAAAACCAACATGTTGTCCGCCTTGTCATAATATCCTTTGAAGTTAACCCTCCCCTATAAAACTGGTCTGATTCATTTCGTCGAAAGTTTGTTTCATCGAATGTTCATTTCGTCGAGTGTTCATTTTGTCGAAAATTATTTCGTCACAAAAAAAAAAAAACTTCATTAACAAATTTCTCCTCACACTTCCCACACACTCCGCTTTCCTCACCTCATTTCTTAACTAACTTTCCACACTCCTCACATCTAACTCTTTCGGTCTCTGGCTCGAGGATAAAATAATTTTCGACGAAATGAACATTCGATGAAACAAACTTTCGACGAAATGGGTGTCAACGAATGATTGTCAACGAAGTAAACGCGACCGAAAAACTTCTCTATCAATATTAATAACATTAAATAATAATAAAATAATCTCCCTCGTGGTCCTTTTATATAGTAATGATAGTAATAAATAGTAATAAATTTTGACATTTTCTTAAGTTATAGTACTATTAACTATATTATTAGCAGTAATATTATAAATATAAATTATTATTATCTTGTTAAAGCAAAATAATTTTACAAATAGTTAAAATCCCTTTACAATAATATTAATATTAATATAAAATTTATTGCATCAAGATGTGATTTAATATTTAATAAAACGAATAAACAAATAATTAGAATAATTAGAATAAACGAATAAAACAAATAAAACAAATAATTCGAGTAAACGAATAAAACAAATAAATGAATAAAACCGAACAAAACAAATAAAACCGAATAAAATGAATAAAACTAAAACGAATAAAATGATAAAACAAACGAATAAAACGAATAATTCGGGTAATTCGAATAAATGAATAAAATGATAAAACAAACGAATAAACGAATAAACGAATAAATCTAATAAAATGCATAATCCGAATAAACGAATAAAATGAATAATTCGAATAAACGAATAAAACGAATAAAACAAAAATTTGAATAAAACGAATAATTCCTTTGAAATAAAATGAATAATTCAAATAATTCGAATAAAACAACCTCAACGTAAGTATTATTTATTGTTTTGAGAGCTATTCTAGTTTAGAGATTGGGATCAGTCAAAATTTGTTCATTTTATTCATTTTAACATTATTTATTTATTTACTTGTAGCGTACCAGGATTAGTTGCTGAATCAACACTAATCCTGATGGAAGGAGAATCAGCTAAGGCATTTGCCTTAGATGTTTTGGAGGTTGCCAATAACAAGAAGTGGGGAGTATACATGGGATGGTAATTACTTTGCCAAAAACGTAATACGTAATACGTAATTACGAAATCAATTACGGGTGACGAAATCAATTACGCGTGACGAAATTAAATGACACCTATTATTTATCTCGTTATATTAATATAATGACATAATTTGTCAACTTTTTTTAGAATTATAGAATTTATTCTGTTATAACGACATGTCAGTATAATGGGAGAACCAATC